ATACAAATGTGTGAAACAATGGCGTGATTTTAAAACATATAACATTAGTGTTTTCTACGGTCTGATATAACATTGTTATACAAAAGGGATTGTAAAGAGGTTCTTCTAGATTTCGGGGACACTGATTTGCACCATTCCATTTTTGTAATCAGACATCTGTCTTTCCTGCAATTCCAGTAAAACTAAGTAGTTAATGATGTCACTAATCGTAAAATATGCGTTATCACATAAATGCTTTTAGCGATTCGTGACGTCATCGTGTACTTTGTTTTAGTGGAATTGCAGAAACCACGGACGTCTAATTAAAAGTTGGAATCGGTGTCTGATAATATCTAGTCTAGGCATGCTCAACTACCACTGAGTTTGTGATTTGTCTCAGGGGTAAATACTCTTTCATTCTTCCATCAGTGTTTGTCAACTTGGTATCATTTTCAGAGAGTCCACATAGAACGAATTCATAGCCACATGCCAACTTGTATATTTTTTTTTCTATTTTCATATCGAAAATACAATGACATTGAGTCGAAAAACTGTAAGATTGATTCCCTTAAGGTTGGACTAACATTTATATAATCATTTTCTAACATAACTTTTTGACACATTTGATTTTTTATGCTCTATTTTTTCCTGGAATCAATTTTGTCATGAAATATAATTAGTTTACAAGCTGTTCGCTATTTTCGTCCCTTTTAGCATCTCGGCTGTCATACAGTGTTCAGTATTATTATATATTCTAGTATTATTATTGGCAATTACACCTTTATCAACTATTAATATCCCTACCTACGTCTACCAAATCGGTGTAATAAATACATATAATTTTCAGATATACTTTCAGAATTATATAATACGTTTTAGATACATATGATTTTCAGATATGCTTTCAGAATTACATAATACGTTTTAGACATACATATAATTTTCAGATATACTTTCAGAATTATATAATACGTTTTAGATATACATATAATTTTCAGATATGCTTTCAGAATTATATAATACGTTTTAGATATACATATAATTTTCAGATATACTTTCAGAATTATATAATACGTTTTAGATATACATATGATTTTCAGATATGCTTTCAGAATTATATAATACGTTTTAGATATACATATAATTTTCAGATATACTTTCAGAATTATATAATACGTTTTAGATACACATATAATTTTCAGATATGCTTTCAGAATTACATAATACGTTTTAGACATACATATAATTTTCAGATATGCTTTCAGAATTATATAATACGTTTTAGATATACATATAATTTTCAGATATACTTTCAGAATTATATAATACGTTTTAGATACACATATAATTTTCAGATATGCTTTCAGAATTATATAATACGTTTTAGACATACATATAATTTTCAGATATACTTTCAGAATTATATAATACGTTTTAGATATACATATAAATGGTTAGACCATTAAGCTTTGATTTCATACGATCCTAAGTTTAACTTGATTTACCAAAGCGCGATAATCTGATTTAAACCTCGGCTTTATTTATCTGTTGTAATAATAAACAGCAGATCACTGATTTAATAACTACTAACTAACTATAATTATCTCTAACTCTACAGAAATCTTACAATCTCCCACTTACAGATTGGGTGTCCATCTTGTTTCATATTGGATTGTGGGAAATCCTTAGATTCATGAGTTATGAAATCAATTTTTAGATTGTATATCATAATAAACTCATAAATAGGTTAGAGATTCGGGTAATTTCAGATATCTCCCCCTCTCGGACGTAAACCTGGTTCCTCCACTGTCTAGCAGTTAGTATTCCTTTAAGACTTGGGAAGATCTAACACTTTGAAAGAACGTGTGGAAATCACAAGATACTACTTTTTCATTCTATGATTTTATTTTGTTGAAATTAATCAAAACTTTGAATGAGGAAAATATCCTTTGTAGTTTGAAACATTGTAATAAAGAAGTTAAATTCTTAAAGATTTCAATAGTTTTCTTATCAAAGAAATCATTGCCAACATTTTCGCTAATTAGCTCCTTTTCATATCTTCAAATAACTGTCAACATTTGTGATTTAGACGTACAATTCTTCTGCTGGCAACTATTTTATAATTTAAATTTGAAAGATTTGAACAGTGGAACACCTGCTCTCTGATTGAGTCGATTTCCCTTCTCTTAAATCCCAGACATTCTCCTGTTAATATAAATATAATAGAACCTTTAAATGTGAATTCATTTTTTAACAGACGTTTAAGAGAAAACACAAACATATGTCTATAAAAGTCCCAAAGATCCGTAAACACAAACCCAAAATAACAGTTTGTGCCAGTATTGGTGTTTGCGGCATTGTATTGTCGTAGGTCACAGTTTGTAGTTCACAAACTTTGTTTGTAATTATCTCCCATGCTTTCGTTCTCCATATTTGTTATTTAATAAACGTTCTCTAAAAGCTCTGCATGTCTCCTGGTTTGCCGTGTCATATAATGGGTTAACTAACTCTTTTACTGAATACATTGGTAGCAGCTACTGAACTTTTCATAGGAATGAGGAAGTATACCAGTTATAACGAGTAAGTATTTTATAATGAAAAGAGGAAACAGGTGCCTGGAAGAGGAAACATTGGGGCCACACGCCCTTTTGTTTCTCAAAATAACAAAAAAGGGAAAGAATACAAAACGTAATGTGTTGCTAAAATATAGAAACATCTGATGGGGTGGCAAGTCTGACACGTTACATAACTTGTGATCAAAGTATCACCAATAAAAGGTAATGGTGGCAATATTATACACGAGCTGGTTGGTTAAAGCAAGGTTTCTTTCTTTCGAATTCTCTTGTCAACAATAAGCCCGATGTGTATCTAAATTTGACTTGTTTACTTCTTTCAGGGAGTCGTTCATCTCATAAAATGTTCCGCTAGTTCACTCAACTCAAAAACACGTTCCAATTTACACGACTTGTAAACAACGCTATTGATTAAATGCGGAAATGACTTTCATTGGGTTAAATTGACCAGAAAAATACAGGGAAATGAACTAAAGAAATATTTGAGAGTATTATAAAGATTAATTATATTTAACTTCCATTGCTAATATACATTTAATTATTACTAATTGGTTCTCAAAGACATCTCATATTGACCAATATTAGCCACGACTAATTATATATTAATGGCTATCAGAACGGGAATATAGTTGAATTAAGGAAGTCTATATTGTAAAATACAATTACCGGTGTTCCTAATAAAAGCTTCGCAGTGAAAACTAAAGTCTTGCTCACGGCTTGATTCATTCCTTTTGATTTTCGTGAAACACATTTAGCAGCTTTTAATATAATATCGCATTTCGATGCAATATGAAATTGAAGACAAATAGAAGCCGTGCTGACACGTATCATACTCTTCAAGAAATATATCATAAAATAAATTGTATTTCTTCAAAACAGAACGTAAAACAAAGGAAAGAAATTATCAGTGAAAAATGTGTGAAATTTGAAATGTTGCTAAACCAATATGTTTCATTTTATTGTTGCATTCCTTAATATACCGAAGACGAATAATTCCAACTGTAACCAATTCAATACTGAATATGAAAACTATTCAAATTGAAGTTAGCTTTCTGTTGGAAAAATTAACTAAGATTTCGAATTTCTTGATGTTATGGATCAATGATTGTAGATATTCTCTATTGATATTATAGCTATGATTACCAAAATAACTTTATGTTTTTTTTAGGAACGTTTTACATAAGCCGAGCTTTTTACATTACATCTTTCCATTATATTATATCAAATATATATATATATCCTTTTTACCATTTGTGTTTTTTTTTCTAAAATAATCATATTTGAAATAAAAGCCATGGTGAAGTAAAGTCTGATTTTTCTAAATTCTAAATTCTAAAATAGATTGACAAAACTATTTTAAAACGTCTGTGCTGCTCTGTGTAAAGCTTCTAGTCTCTAGTGTCAAATTATTTCATGTCAACTTCACTGAATTGATTGAATAAAACAGAAGATTATACCACACATCTGTTAACTTTTCAATCCTTTAAGAAATAAAATTCACAGCTGCTGTCCTTGGGCCTCGCCTCGTAAATTTCACAGAAAAATGAAGTGATTTTTTGTTACAATTTCGTATAAATATTTGAAAATAAAGAGATATAATAATACTAAAAACGACATAAATACCGTGTTGGAGTAAATGTCAACTCGATCTATACATTATCTCAATTATACTGTTACATAGAATAGACATTATCTTTTATGATATTAAATACATGATATTACATCGTAAACACGCTATCTATATCAACATGTTTTCTTTACAATGAAAAGACGTTGTATGATATATCACACATCGTTACATGATAAAGACATATCTTGTAAGATATATAATACACGTTACATTGTAAAGACGTTATTTTGCATGATATATCACACTCCGTTACATTTTAAAGACGTTATCTTGTATGATATATTATACACGTTACATTGTAAAGACGTTATCTTGTATGATATATTATACACGTTACATCGTACAGACGTTACCTTGTATGATATTTTATACTACATAACATCGTAGAGACGTTATCTTCTATGATATATTATACACGTAACATCGTAAAGACGTTATCTTCTATGATAAATTATACACGTAACATCGTTAAAACGTTATCTTCTATGATATATTTAACGACGTTACATCGTACAGACATTATCGTGTATGATATTTTACATGATAAAGGAGGTATCTGTATACATGTCTTAAATAATAGTGTATCTAAATAGTAAAAATTGCTAATTTGGTGTAATTATTATGGATAATAACATTTTCTCGCATAATTTTACCAAGCAAACGTTATTTCTGGCGTTATATCCATGGGAGCAATGCACTTATTTGTATCAAACTTTATATTTAATACGTTATCAGCAGGGCATAGTTTTATCAGAATAATTTGTAAATATGATAACTGTGGACAATGATTCCATTCATATTTTATTTTTCTATTTCAGAGTGTGATATTTCATGTGGAGCGTCATCCCGTGTATGAATGGTTTACACAATGTGTTACGTTTAACTTTTTCCCGTCACCGAGCCACGAACTTGCCTATAATTTATTTAATGTAATAGCTGTATATGGACTGCCTTTAGTGATCATTACTGGAACTTATTCCTTGATATTATGTGAAATTTCAAAAAAATCGAGACAAAGTCAAAGTAAGTTTTTTTCTTATTTTTCATAAATCATTTTAGAGCTTGCAGATGTCAAAGTTCACACACGAGGGTTAAACAAATGCATTGCACAGCGAAGCACGTGGGTTTTACATCTCACGCCTTCACGACACCGATCAGATGACATATATAGAATTTAAAATATCAGTTCGTTCCATTTCCCTAAATTACGTCGAACTTTATTTATGTTATATCGAAGAGAATGATATTTAGCGTATCAGTGTTGTCTGGGGTATGAACAATTGATTGATAGTTACTGTAGAATTATTATGTTTCTTTAGCTATTGTGCACGACGTTTAATAGATATGATAATGTCGTACACCGTTGCTAACGAAATTTGTTCTTCAAGGAGGAAGTATGTGACTATGTGCGATCACCTAGTTCTAGTTATATAACGATTATATTATATGGCTCTTAATGCATCAACGAGATTTAATTCCACCTTGAAATTCTCATACGTGTATATTCAATTTTGATTGGCATCAGTTTTAATATCGAGTAAGTTTTAAATAGAAATGAAATAAAGTTGTTGGGCTTTATTGAGAACAATCGAAGCAGATGGTGTCAAGGCCATTCATTGAATGACAACTTTATTAACTATTCACATGTCAAAAATATCAATTTCATTTATTACTTTATTAGTCAAACAAACAAAGGTCAACAAAATATAAACTATGATTATCCAAATACAAACAAATTAGATTATAATTTCGTTTTTTTAATGGTTTTCGTCTCATTGTAATGTAATCTAACACACAGTAACCGCAGTCAACAATCAAAGCATTTTATGTAAGACCCGTTTCTTGATATGACGAATTGTTATTAGATAGTGATTATCCTGGCCTCTCAGTCTTGTCACAAAATACATAAGCTTCTGTGTAATCTTGTATATAATTTGTAGTTTAGTAGGACTTCTGTCTAAATGGGTTGTCAAAATAGAGTTATTAATCAACCGCATTTTATCAGGAATATCATATCAAATCAGAGACGTAAATACACATTGATTTCATTTCTCCCTATTGTCACAATATATATATTTTATACCTCATTTTTTTCCAGTAACCTTCGATAGTTATCATAAAATTTTTTTTCCGTTTCGTATGGCTTTAGTTTTCTTGACATTTTTGTACCAAGTTCGTGACTAGTACGGTTTTACTGGGAATTATTCTCATATGACATATCTGGTAAAACTCTGGTAAAACTATTATTCTCTTCACAAATATCCCACAATGTCTCAAGTGAACTCAACTAATAGACATTCAGTCATCAGAAGAAATTCCTCCTACATTTTTCATGATCTACATTTTTTGGAATTATTGAAATCTCAAAAAGTTTAAGCCATGTTGGTAAATGTAATTAACCGCTTACAATAATATACAAACAACTTTAAATATTAAAGTGTCACCACATGCAATTGAATAACGGAACACTATTCTATGGGTACTACTCCATGGTTTTATTGTACAAAACGTACAATTGTCCCAATCAGGTGCACGAGGAAGTATAATACCAGCCGGTTTATAGACATAATTAGGGAATTGTTTTGCCTTATTTCTATTCTTATATTGCAAAGGTTTTACCCTTTAATGAGACATGTTATCACTTCAACAACTTTGATTGAAAGGTGAAATGTGGAAAATTGAAAATGTATTTAAAAACGAAAACAAAACATAAAATCTCTCATGAAAAATATCAAACAAGTGGAATAATAGATAAAGATCAGATGTTTCGGTATGATCTGAACAGGCACCTTGCGTACAACTATATATAATTTAATAATTTGTTTCTGCACCTAAAATGCTTATCCTACACACGGTTAAGCGTCGGGATATCCATAACTTAGTGCAGTTGGGTATCGTGAACAAAATAAAATGTGCTTAAACTTTCTGGAGCACCGAATACCATTCGGTCCATATTAGGTCCATACCAGTGGCTCGTGTAACATTACCACATTCACGAGGTTAATATTATGAAGCAGTTGTAAGCAATAATCATATTTATTCTACCAGATTTCCACAATATGGATAACGGACATTTTCATAATTAGGAACTGGATCGTAATAGGGCACAATAGGATCTGTAACGACGACCAGTGGTGGAACCAAAGGGGAACGGCAGCCCCGAAAGCAAAAATCTCAAACTAGGTTAGAAATACGGACGTGAACTTGGCTCCGCCACTGACCACCACCATAAGGGTAGTACGTAAATTTTTCACGTTTTATATTAACACTACAAGGGCTGATAATATAAAAAAGTTTATTTTTTCACATTTCTTACATCTGGGACTGTTTGCTACACACAAGACATCCAGTTAGGGATGTGCCATTTAGGGCTTTATTTTAACCATGTATAGATGATCTTAACTAATAACCACGTAATACTTTCTATCACGATATGACATATGGAATTTCTTCAATAACAGTGTTTCAGGTTATATTACAAAGTCTTATAATTTTATATAATTCGTGTATGAGTGCTTTAAAACACCAAAAAATGCCGGGGTTGACATTTCAGAGACACATTGGTTGTGTTTTATGTATTCCTATACGGAAAGTGATGCAATGGCCCATCATATCTGTATTTCATATTACAACGCGTAGGAGATCTTTTAAAAAAGTAAATATCGTCTGGGTTGACATTTCAGAGACACGCTTTCTGAATGTTTGACACATTTGACACATTGCCTAGTTTTATTATGTATTCCAACGACATTGACATGTTTTTCAGTGACCCACACTGTCTGTATATATTATATCAGAGCGTGTAGAAGTACTTTAAAAAAAACTAAATAACGTCAAAGTTGACATTTCAGAGACACGTTTTCAGGACATCTGCTCATAACACATCACCTAACTCATTTGACGCATTGCCTTGTATATTTTATGATTTATTCCCTAAAGGTGCGTGTCACAAAAGCTTTTACCCAAGCAAGATAACATTGAATGTAGAATGCTACAAAATATAGCAGTTAATATTTAATACAAAACTATATGACAGACCTAGTTACCAGAATCACATCACGAAATTATTTGACCACCAACGCCCAAGAAAAGTTGTTAAACTTCAATGTTATATGTGTGAATCGGCAGTTATTAAAAAGTCGATTAATTTGGTCTGGTTTAATAATTTTAATGGTGGTCAACTAAGTTCGTGTTAGTTATTTCTATTATTTTTAAAGTAAGAACGACACGTATGGTTAATAATTAAGTTACATTGCAATTTCAGAGACATGGTTTGTAACTAGATCTCTGTATTAACACATTGCCTAACACATTGCCTGGAATATTTATGATTTATTGAAGAAATATGCGGACGTTAATTAAGAAAAGAAGACATATTTGAGTAAAATAGGTCGTTTGGAAGATAACGGCTCCCATGCCTAGTATAAAATTGCATAAAATTCCAATAAAAACTGAATCCGGAATTTGATTTCACGCCGAAGAATTTTGAAGTTATATATTTTCAACTACTAGACTTGAATCTAAATAAAGTGTATCAGATTTCTTGATTAATTTCTTATTATAACATCAATATCTTTCTTTCACACATGTACAAAATCTCCTCTGTGTATGTGGGATCTCCCATCTAGCGGAAGTGTATAAGATCACATCGACATTTGGATAAATGACATTCAGCACTGTTCTGTATTTACTATCTAGTGATTCTTTTTAACTTAATGATACTTTTCATTTTATACTTCCAATCTTTACCTTTTAAACTTCTTACCTTAATCTTTTCTTGTAATTCGTACATCATCATTATGTTTCATCAAATTTCCCCCAGAAGGTATTTAGTAAAAGTTTAGTTATAACCCGTAAGTAATAGATCAAGCTTAATGTATATCTTGTTTTGTTTTAAAAGCTTTCAAATATAGTTTTTCCAGTGAATTGTGTTTTTATTAAATTTAAAGATTTAAAACCTCATGATTCAACAAACAAGGTCCTTTATGTAGATTTGTGTCTAGAAAAAATCTTTCTTTTACCTTGATTTTTTTCTTTTCCTAGTTTCCTTTATCCTGAATAGCTGCGATCTAAAGAAACGACAAATTTGACAAACAACGTGAATAAAAATGATTTATAATGCATTTTTATATTCGACCTATTTGAGTTGAATACAGATTTTGATATTTCTATGTGTTTTATACAAGGTTTATTTCGTTTATATGATGACTAGAATTTCTTTGTCAATGGACCAAATATGTTTTTTAATATATCACCGTTTCATAAATGTTCTGAAAGTTAATAGAATCTCTTACTTCACCGCTTTCTTATAAAATATATCAGTTCTACTACAGTCAGTCCTGTTAAAAGAAATAAAACGCCTTCTAGTCTACTGCTTCATTCTATCCTTCACAAATTCTTTGTCACTCGTGGTCTGAGAAATCGGATGTTTTGCCTCCACGCTTGACAATTTCTTGCACATTAAAAAGGCCAAAACTTTCAAAAGGGCTGAAAGGACAGTGGTCAATTTGACATGTCCTAGATAAATCAGTAGACAGAAGATCTATTTGTGGTACAGGTCTTATCAGTACAGAAAACTGTTAGGTGTCATCCTGGAGGAGTTGAAAATCTTACAGATTTCTCTTGTCCCAGAGCAACTGTGCCACACTCTGTTATAAATATGCATTTTCCTCAGAACACACTGAGAGATGATTTAGCCATAACGCAGATCACACAATGCCACTGTACGACTTTGCATTATTAAATAAATGTATTGTAAATGTTTAGGTATATTAGATCATGATGGGGATTAATGTTAAATATAAATTTCCCCCAGAAAATGTTGATAGATGCACCATAACCCAGACTGATCTGATTTCATTGATTTTATCTACCCCAACTAATTTATCTAAACGATTTCTTGAGCTACTTTTTACATCGGGGTCAATTTGTTTTACTGTCAATTATCGACTATCTCTTTTGATGTTTCCAATATTAGCTTGGTAGACATTCAACTAGCCTATTGTGAAATGAAATGAAATGAA